CATCTCTAGTGACCTACTTTTGAGCTATCTCTATCTTTTCTGCCATCTCAAATCTGATGTGATCATTAACACATTTTTCATTCAGTTACTATATTTTAAAATTCTAGAATTTCCATTTTAGCTGATTTTTAAAAGTAGTTTATATTTCTCTATTGAGATTTCCTATTTACTAAGTGATTTTCATAATATTTTCTTTTACTTCTTTGAACAGTTTCCTTTAATTCTTTGAACATATTTATGATAGCTGCTTTGAAGATTTTGCTAAATCCAACATCCAGCCCACTTACAGTCAACCTCTTTTTCTTTTTCTTTTCTTTTATTTTTATTTCTTTAGTTTTTTTGGCTGTGCTGCTAGGCTTGCAGGATCTTAGTTCCCTGACCAGGGATTGAACCCAGGCCCTCAGCAGTGAAAGCACGGGTCCTAACCACTGGACCGCCACCAGGGAATTCCCTAGAGTCAATTTTTCTGAGTCACAGGTTCCTGCCTCCTTTTATTGTCCCTTTTTTGCTGACAACTGTACATTTTAGATAATATATAGGAGCAATCACAGATTCTATTACATCTTTATGGGATTTTGTTTTGTTTTGTTTTTAAACTACAGAATCTGTCTCCCCCATGGAGCTTGGAGGCTAATGTCTTTGCTCTGGTGTTATTTCTGTGTGCGTTTGTTTCTGGGTGTTTTGTTTTTGTTTTGTTTTTTTTTGATTAATAGACTTTTTAGAGCAGTTTTACATTCACAGCAAAATTGAGCGAAAAATACAGAGATTTCCAATATAACCCTGCCCCCAAATATGTACTTACAATGGTTAATTTTGTGTGTCAACCTGACTGTGCTAAGGGATCCCAGATAGGCTGGTAAAGAATAATTTCTGGTGTGTCTGTGAAGATATTTCTGGAAGATATTAGCATTTAAATTAGTATACTGAGTAAAGAAGATCTACCCTTACTAAGGGTAGGAATTATCCTACTAATTATTAGTAATTATCCTTACTAATAGGCAGGAATTATCCGATCCATTAAGGGTCTGAATAGAATCAAAAAAGGGCAAAGGAAAAGCGATTTGTCTCTTTTCTTTTCTTGAGCTGAGAAATCCATCTACTCCTGCCCTTTGGGCCTTTGGGCGCCAACACTTACGTTAGTGGCCCCCACGTCCCCCAGTTCTCAGGCCTTTGGCCTCAGACTGAGATTTACACCATCAGCTCCCTTGGTTCTCAGGCCTTCAGACTCAGACTAAATTACACCACCAGCATTCCTGGTTCTTCAGCTTGCAAACGGCAGATTGTGGTACTTCTCATTCTCCATAACCACATATGAGCCAATTTCTATAATAAAGCTCTTCTCTTTTTTTTTTTTTTTTTTTTTTTTTTTTT